TTTTTGTAGCTAAAGTACATCACAGAGAAAAATGAAGAGATTGCTCAGATTAATCTAGAACGAAAGGCAAAGAAGAAAAAGAAGTTAGAGGATGAAAACAAAAATTTAAATGAGCCAGAAGAGGCTGGAGCAGACGAAAGTGAAAATTAGACTCTCTCGACACCTGGAAAACGCAGTCTTCAGCAGGTAGAGCCACCTGGAAATGTGTATGGTCACAAAGGGAATTTTGAAGGGATAAGTAGAAATTAAAAGATAAAAAAGGCTGGGCAGCTTTTTTGTCCTGTATTCTCCCAGTCATTAACTGTGAAAGCTGGTTTAAAAGAAAACTGGAAACTCTTGAGCAAAATACTCCTATAGCTCGCTCAAGCACACAAAAAAGGCATGTGTTTGAATGGTACATATTGGAAATTATATATTCCAGTTAATAAGATTGTGCTAGCAATTAAACATGGTTGACTTTTTCAAGCAAAAATCATAGTTATTTCTTCATTATTTGACATAATTTTCTAGGCTAAATGACAATCTCTGAAAGATGAATAAAGCTATGTTTGTTTTGTTCTTCTTATTACTAATGTTGTTTTTAAATACATGCCACCTATGATCACCAGGTAAAAAGATGTATGTTTGGGAATGGTCCTTTTTACTTTTTAAAGGTGATTTTCTCCAGAAACACAGTTTATATGACTTCTCTCTGGCTATTTTGTGATTAATCTATGGTTCTGCTGGGCAGTAGTTTGCTTGAGGGGAAAATCTGGGACAACTATTCCAGAACACTTCAGTGTGTCATCCTCTATTTTAAAGTTTGTGAGAGATGATGCTCCAAGAGCATGATTCTGCTGTCTTCTCATGTCTTTGGGATTTCTAGAGATCGAGGCATGACTTTCCCCCTATGGGGAAATAAGGTAGAGAAAAGGATGGGCATTTACAGAGCTCATTCTGTGCGCCAGGTCCTGCCCCAGGTGTTCCTGTAGGTTACCTCAGTATATCTTCATGACTTTATCAGGGGAGATCTGATTCTCCCCATTTTCCTGATGAGCAAACTGAAGCTTGATGAGGTTAAGCAGCTGCCCAGGATCACCAGGCTATTGATCAGTAGGGACAGTATTGATATTCGGGGTTGCTCACTCTAGAGTGGGCAAGAGAGAAAAGGGCACATATTTTGGGTAGAATCTATACCATCCATGCTCAAATATGATCAGCAAAAGACACCCCAAAGCCTTCCTCTCAAAGGGAAGTGCTAAGCTATGGTCATGGTAAAGCACTAAATTTAAACTTTATGGTTTCAGGTCTGTAAATAATGAATCATTTGATCTCATATTAATTATAATATCTGTGTGTCACATCCATGAAAGGAAAGGGAATCATAAAGCCTTCTATCCTTATAGTACATTCAGACAAAGACCCGTATGTTGGCAGTTTCATTTTTGGATAAGCTCTCTTTAAAGTCCTCATCAAGAAGAGTGTAGGGAATAGATACTGTGGACTTTCCAAAGGTTGACACATCTAGATTTGCATCTTGGGTTTGCAACTCTAATAGCTGTATGACTTGCTGAAACTTTGTGCTTCTGTCAATGAAATAGGGTTAAAAGTCCCTTGCAATGAGGTCGTATGTGGCAATAAAAGGAAATGAGTAGAATCATTGTAACATATGTTATTTTTATAGATTTCTGTAGCTTCTGAATCTCAGTCTACACATGACTCGCAGTGGTGAGCCTTCGTGTGCTGTGGGTGTCCTGCCTGATAAGATATGTGAGCAGCAATGAGTTGATTTTAGTGGGACCTCCTGGTTGGTGTGGGTATTTTGATGTGAAGTTTTCTAGCCAGATGAGAATACTGACTTGACATTCGTGTAATCTTCTGGTTTATCTGGCGTAGTTAGGCATGACCTGTGTGTATTTTGGACAAGTGGTCTTATAATGCATTTTTCAGGGATTATAACACAGGGAGGTCAGACTTCGTAAGGAATAGCTGACTCCACTCCTCTTACTCTTGTGAGCTGCCTCTTCCCCTGCACATTGCAATTAGGGTTCAGTTTATTCTGGAATGTCCAGGGTTATCTACGTCATCCTTTCCAATTCCATCCTTGGTGACAGATGGCAGAAAGGACTTCTAGAGGGCACTTTCTGGGCTTGCTTCCTCAGAGTTTTAGAAGCTCTTCTGTGCTTTCACTAGACCTGCAGATGATTAACCATAAAAAGAAGCAAATGTCTTTGAAATAAATGTGACGTGGTAACATAGTTAGAGGCAATTTGCATTTAAAATATTTGTTGTCTCCTACTTCCAACAATTGCTGAAAAAGCTTGAAATAAAAGAGCTTGTGTTGGCTGGACGTGGTGGCTCATGCCTGTAATCCTAGCACTCTGAGAGGCCGAGGCCGGTGGATCGCTTGAAGTCAGGAGTTCGAGACCAGCCTGAGCAAGAG